CAAAGATGATGAGTGGAGAAGCAGGAGAGCAGCTGCCGTTGGTGGTGATGGTCGACTTCCTGGCCGACGCCAGCATCGAAGCCGAGGTGTTGAAGGGCGTAGCACGCGTCGAGTGCTGGCAGGTGGAAGGCCACCACGCCCTGCCCGACCACCTCCACGTACACCTCTCCCCCCACCTCTTCTTCTACGTTGGCCTCTTCGTCATCACCCACCCATGAACATGGACCTGGGACATGAACGCGGGCACAGGAGGCCGCTGGTCTGTTGGTGTGGCACCTGGTCCACTTCCCTCGTCAGGTCTTCGAGCAGAAGCTCTCCAGTACGCCACTTCATCACAACTACAACTACTACAACAAGACAACTGTTCAGTTGAGCTCACCCACTCGCGCTACACGACACGACGGCAGGCGAGGGCACCAAGACCAAGGTGCTGGTGCGCGTGGGGATGGGCATCGACTCGGTCGACCTCCAGGCAGCCGGCGAACGCGGTACTTTCAACGTTCATTCATTTACACGAGAAAAGACTGATTATATAATATAATATCTATATGATATAATATTTCTATACATATCTGATAAAAAGGGATCTACGTGGCCAATGTGCCGGACTACGGCGTGGAGGAGGTGGCCGACTCGACCCTCTCCCTGATCCTCAACCTGGTGGGCTCCTCATCGTGTCTCCTCTTTTCCCACTCGCGCGCGGCGATGGCCACACTCACCTCGCAAGCCTCCCGCGCCGCTGCGCAGATGCGGAAGACGCACGTGCTGGCCAACGGAACGAAGGAAAACAAGTGGCCCACCCACGCGGCCAAAGGTGGAACCCGTCTCGCCCTCGCTCTCGCTCTCTTGCGTCGGCCCTGTCGTGTTTCTAACGATGATCATCGGCAGGCGCCACCAGGATCCGAGGAAAGAAGTTGGGCATCATCGGCCTCGGCAAGATCGGACGTGGTACCCTCTCACTCCTGTGTCTTGTGTGTCGTGTCGCGTGTCGTGTCGTGTGAGTGTCGTGTCGTGTTGTGTTGTGTGTCGGGTGAGTGCCGTGTGTTGACCAAAAAACCCCAACTGACGCGCGATTGGGGTCGCAGCTGTGGCGGAGAGGGCGAAGCCGTTTGGGTTCGACATCTTCTTCTACGATCCCTACCTGACCGATGGCGTGGACAAGTCCATGGGTGAGTAGCGCCATGCACATCACCCGCGAGTGCTGTGTGTGTGTGTGTGTCGTGTGTCGTGTGTCGTGTGTCGTGTGTCGTGTGTCGTGTGGGATGTGGTGAAGCTGAACGTGTGCATGCAGGCATCGGCCGGTGTGATTCGCTGGAGGACCTGCTGGCCTCCTGCGACGTGGTGTCCCTCAACTGCGACCTCAACACCGACAACCACCACCTACTCAACACCGCCACGCTCTCGCACATCCCCAAGAACAAAGGCGTACGACCGCACACACGACCGCACACGCACACGCACCAACGTAGCCTCACGGTCGCACACGCAGTTGTTTTTGGTGAACACGGCGAGGGGCGGTCTGATCGAGGAGACGGCTCTTCTCGCGGCGATGAAGGATGGCAGGATTGGCGCCGCCGCGCTTGATGTGCTCGAAGAGGAGCCCTACACGGACGGTACGAGCCCTGTCGTTCAACGTGCGTGCTGTCTGTCGACTCAACGCCGTGGTGTCGTGTCGTGTCGTGTCGTGTTGTGTGCACAGGACACCTGAACGAGGTGCCCGACCTGCTGCTGACGCCGCACACGGCGTTCTACAGCGACGAGGGCTTCATCGAGATGCGCACCAAGGCCGCCCTCGAAGTCAAGCGCGTGCTGCAGGGCGGCGCTCCGCGCAACTGCGTCAACAAGCAGTGGATCAAGTCGTGAGCCCTCAGCACCTCAGCGCTGAACTGTTTTGTCTGATATGTTCTACAACGTATGTATCTTTTATCAATAATATAGCAATATATCATTTCTTTACACTATTTTTACAATAATAATCAATCGTCGAAGGTAGGAGGGTTGTGGCGCAGCCAGTAGATCTTGGATGTGCGGCCCGAGTGCTCCTTGCCGTCGATCCAGGTCGAGGCGTCACCCTCCGCGTCGGCGTCGTCCCGCATGCGCGCCAGGATGCCGCGGTTGGCCGTCCGGATGCTGCGGTGGACCTGGGCACCACCCCAGTCGCCCCACATCCACGAGTTCGTCGGCCTCCGCGTGCCCCGCCTGCTGTTCCTCGATCGCGTCATCGTGTGTTGTGTTGTGTGTCGTGTGTTGCACACGTTGTGTTGTTGTGTGCGGTTGTGTCGGCTTTTATGGGACACTTGCGGCGTCGGGCTCGCGAAAGGGCGTGAACAAAAATCCAGAAAAATTCAGGAAAATGATTGGATAAATAAAAATAAAAATGTAGATAAAGATTTAGCCCAATCACATGTTGGCATGCGAGGTATGTACACAAAGGGGTGTGGTTGGGTGTCACTTGTGTTCGAGGAAGAGGTAGAGGGTGTGGGAAAAGGCGGTGGCGAGGGGCACTCGGATGAGCGACGCGGCGAGCGATCGGTAGTTGGCCGACGACGGCTGGAACGACTTCAGGAACCCGTGCCAGAACCCGTACTGCCCGCCGAACTTCTGTCGGTAGAGCCTGGCCATCATCATCATCACCATCAGCGACCGCACACACCGCACACGCACCGCACGCACACGCACACGTGTGGTTTGAGGATACCGTGAACTGTCGAAGGGATAGGAGGCGAGCATGGCCATCATGGAGGCCGTCACGCTGGAGAGCGAGTTGATGGCCACGCTGCGCGGGTCACGCTCCGATGCCGGTGCCGACGCCGACGTCGCGGCGGCTGCGTCGGTGGAGCCCGGCGTCGGCGTCGACGAAAAGAGCGAAGGCGGCACGACCGACGATAGCGTCTTGCGGAGGAGGCCGAACATGGGGAAGTAGGCCATCGACCACACCTGCAGCGCAGCGCCGAGGCGTCCAACGTCAAATCGCGTGTGTGTCGTGTCGTGTCGTGCGTGCGCTGTATGCGTATCGTGTCGTGTGTGTGTGTGTGTGTCGTTCGTGCGCATGGAATTGGAGGGAGTGGCGAACGTACGGTGTCGCGAAGGACGATGCCGAGTCCACCTCTGTAGAATCCCAGCAGCCCGCGCTCGCGATACACGTCCCTGCAGATTTGTCGCACCGTGAAGGTGGCGTTCACGCCCGACTGCGCGCACACGACACACACGACACGACACACGACACACACGACACACGGCACACGACACGCGGTGAGTCGCGCGCGATCGCGGCAGTGCAGGGGACAAGAGGGCGAAAAAGAAAAGAAAGATAAAAGATAGCAACCTGGAGCGGGACTTTGATGACGTTGATGGGCGCCGCGAGGAGGCCCAACACCATGCCCGCAAACATGCTCGAGAAGAACTGACCCCGCTCCTCGCTCATGCCTATCAATCGTGCCGTGTCATGTCGTAGCGTTGGTCGTGTGTCGTGTGTCGTGTGTCGTGTGTGTCGTGTGTGTCGTGTGTGTGTCGTGTGGTATGCACCTCCTTTGGCAATGCACACGTGCTTGATGAGCTCCTGCGTCGGGTAGAACGCCATCTGCTTCAGCGCCGTCGAGAACATATTGAAACCTGACGCGTGCGACACTCCTCAGTACGTGTACGCGTGTGTCGCTGAGTCGGTGTCGTGTCGTGTTGT